GTTACAAATTCAAATTCGATCAGTCACAGTATAAAATGAGTATACAAGACACCATGATATAGAACTACAATTATGAGGTGGCAGAACCCTAGATGACTCCAAACATTGGAGGCAAAAACTCCACAAGTCACGGTTGAAAAGTGTTTGACCTGACAGGCATCCAAAGTACTTAACATGCAAAGGCCAATATTTTGAGAGAATGTGAAATGGGACACTGTGCAATATACATCCATTAAGATGTGCTCCTAGTAATTTGGTATCTTAAAATGTATCTTTGAGCATACTTCTTATAGCTACACAAAATGGTATTTGTTGATTAATTATTTCATTTTTCTATTCCTTTTGACGTGACTATAACCTGCCCACCCTACTCAACCTCACCAACTTGATTTAATCATAACATCAACACAGAATTATCAGTCAAGATGTAGAATAATAAAAATTGTAGAATAATAAAAATGTGTCTAAGGAACATTCACTGAAAATTTCATGGAAAATTATCGATTATTGATAAAGTAAGATCATATAGTGCATTACTTCTGGGACAACCCTCGTACAGTGCTAGTTAAACCAGACTATTTTGTTATAATGTTTTAAGTGTCAGCATGCCAAAACAAAGAGTGCAACCCATAACATATATTGATTCTAAAATAGTTTAAAAATAACAAATCAGGATCAGTTAAAACTGACAGCGCGATTATTACGTCTATAAATATAAGCATCCGATGAAAAGACAATTCTGACATCAGATTATGCCTTCTTTATATATGTCTTTGATATGATGACATCGATGTATTCAATCTGAATACATGAAATTATTGTACATCACGAAAATGTTCATGTTTATATTGCAACAGTGAACAAACTTTACATAAATCGTGTCCATCTAGTTCAATTATTATTACTATTAGATTGTAATTCGCGAAATAATATACCGGTACATTGAAACCATGGGAATTTTCACTCACGCAGTCACATCCCTATATGTTCCCGTGTCCACCTATTTTATTTAAATACCACTGTAAATATTCTGTGCTATTTTGGAGTCAATGGTAAAATTGAAAATTGAAAATATCTTTGAAATTCATACATTATTGAAAATATAATATCGATTAAAAATATGGACAATTTTTGGCCGACGATATTGATTTTTGGACTAGTTCACAATCTCCTTTCTCCATGCATTTATTTTGTGATATTTTTGAAACCTGAAATGTGAACGTCGAAATAATAATGAGAAACCTGTGGGGGCCACGGTAATTGATTTGACTGGAGGGTGTCTCCCAGGGAGCTCTGGTTGGGATGTTATTATCACTCAGGCTTTGTCTTATACACTCACATTCTTTCAGGTTTCTAACTAACTAGAACATATATTTATCTTCACAACATTTGCAGGCAATTACATATCGATAAATGATATGCAACATATACTTAAACTTTACTTCGAGCAATTCAGTATACAAAAATGGCACTGGTTCTGCCTTGATCTGATCGACATATTTGGTCAATACCGGGGACAATACATTTCCTTTTTTTCACTGTGGTAATTGCGAAAACGGATTTTGCTTTTTCCATGACCAGTTACAAAGTTCCATCGCTGTTTTGGTCTACATTGATCACTCGCCGATTGTATAAAATGATATATCATTTGACATATACCTCGTTAGAATGATAAATTATACAGTTCGAACAATCACTAGTTTGTCACATTCTGATACTCATCACACCTTTTTGCCTTCAACTACACACCGGAATAGCCCGACTACGGTAAAGTCAGATACCGTTGTCACAAATGTTCGCTTCAAATGTTTAATCACTTGGTCCTCATTTCATGGGATTTTATCGTCGCTAATTCTGTGCATGCATTAAGCTCTTGTGATAATGTATCATATGAAATCCCATTCTCGATCAAATTGGGTCGTGAATCGCCACAATATAGCGTCTTCAATATCGTCAATGACAACGGAATCTGAATTTGAGTAACTTAGAAAGACAACGGCATATGGTAATTACAGTGTCCGTTGTCCCGTATCTCATTTTGATCGGTTAAATTAAAGACTTTATTTCGATGGTAGAACATTATTAACTGTACAATGGGTATTAAGACACTTTGATTGTTTGTTGTTCCAAAGGAATTTAGTCTAGGTGCTCTATTAAACATACAGTTCATGAAAATCTAATTGAAGCGACGGTTATGTCCGCCGTTCGTGACAACGGTATCTGACTTTACCGTTGTCAGGCTATTCCGTTGTGAACTAGAAATATATCTAGAAAGAAGCTAATGAACGCCATGATTTCTCATGATGAATTTGGCATGTTTTGCACCATATAGGCAAAAACAGTTCCAAACACTGCACATGCACCATCCGGTCAAATTAAGCAATTCCATGTTTATTTCTGGTACTAAACGGCACCACGCCTGAAAAGATCAGAACAATCTAGAACGTTCACCTATAGACGTAAGCAAAAACCTCAATTTCTATAAATACTTAGCCAATGCTTGAAAATGCTAACCGAGTTAGCGGAACTAAAGACAATGGTTAAGTAAGACATGCTTTCACACATAGCTAGGCAAGGTGTGTCCAATTCCAGCAAATCAGAACATGATATTTCATATAACTGCAACCAACAACCCATTCAAGGTCATTTTTAGATTCCAGTGAAACTTATGAAACCGATAAACTTATCAATTTTATAATTGAGTAAAAATCTATAAATAATATCATAGGGAATAACAAACAAAGTGCTTATGCAAGTCAAACGGTGTGTTAAACGGTGTGTTAAATGGTTGTCAAAGTGACACGTTGACCCTTGCACAGAGTTTCTTTGAAAATATAATCTTTTTAGTCGTTTCTTATATTTTAAGTGATATTGTGCAATGTGGGCAAACTCCACCTCCCAATACACTGTGACTGATTCATTCCACTGACAGATGCAACACCTTAGAGGAATGACCAGTCCACAATGCACTGAGTTCAGGGCTTAAATCCTTAAATAGTTTGAAAACGGCTGTTATATAGAACAGAATATTTTGTTCATAGGTATATGAAGAGAAAGAAGAGAGTGAAAACATTTAATAGAGAAATAATGTATATATGATTATTGATTATGTCAGCTACAGTTTAATTTTTGTGTATTATATATGGTCATTTGGACGTTTGGCGCTGGACTAGTACTCTAATCTGAAGCTGTTCTACTTTTTTGATTAACAGACTCCGTGTCTAGTATAACGCCGACTCGACGCCGACTACATAGATCACGAAGACTAAAAGAAGAACAGCCAACGAAGAATAGACGATCTTGCACAAGAAGCTCCATATATTAACATTTAAAATTCCAATCTATTGTTATCATGAGAAATCAAGGCCTTTTAGAAGCTTCACACTATTTCTGACAGACAGAAGGATGTGACGAGCAATGATCCATTACTATGTTATATATGTCATATACTTTATAGATTAGTTTGACACAACAGGACCTAATAATGGAGTCTCAGGACAGAAAAGTCAAGTAGATTATCCATAAATTATTGATGAACGGGTGATTACAAACGTTAATGAATCTGCGGAAGGCAATAACAACAAAGAAGAATCCACCATCAATGTGTTATTAATTTTGTTCTAACATGAATTCAATTTGTTCGAATGAACAATCGAACTGTATTGGCAAAATGGTCCCTATCTTAATGAAAATGTCAAGAAAATTGCAAAGGACCAGCCGTATTAAAAGGTATTTATAGATTCAATTTAAGATCGTGCCGAAAAAAGAGTTCCAACGTCGATCCAAATGCACTACAGGTCGTGTATTATTAGTTAGATACTGTTCGTGAGAAGTCTAGTAAAATACCCGAGGGATGAGACGTGTTTAAGACAGTGCAATAGCAATTGTTTGAGAGAGAAGTGGGATAGCCTAGTGATCACTTTTTTGCATTCAGTACACAAGTCATACGTTTTTGCATTACTTGAATAGTTCGTCATCACTTTACGGGAAATACATGAAAAAGATTTGCAAATTATTTACGTATTTTTCGGGTCCCTTGATTCCGAACAACATTAGTATTTGTAATAAGTCGCGATGCTCTTAAAACATTACGTAAAAGCTTTTAAAGTATCATATTTTTATAACTGAAATTAGGTCAACGAAATTATGTCATCAAAACAGCTCGTGTATTAACAGACAAATTTAGATAAAATGATATTTATATCTTTTGTACTTGTAATTACATTATGCTGAATCAACGCAATCCAACGCATTACATAGAATGTCAGATCATTTACCTACTCTGAATTAGCAATTTTATTCCCTGCAAGCTATATACAACACACTCTTTCCGATATCGATACTTAATATAGACGCCAGTGGGATATTAAGTTGAAGTAGGTGTTTGTCTTTTCTTGTCATGTGGTGTTTTGTCACTCGTGTGGTATTAAAACTTTGAGAATATTCTGATCTTTCTAAGATAAATATTCTGCTTTTATTCACGCTGTTGCCCTGTTGAAAGTTTATAATTAAGATCACGGTAACTACTATCCAACTACCATAACGATGATGAAACGCTTGCTATATATCAAACACTGTTTGAAAGTGGTTTAAAATAAACCTCCGGGAAATGAATGCAAATACTGTTCACTGAGCCAATAACTTGAATTGGCAAGTATGTCTTTCGTCAGTGGCAAGATCAGTACATTGAATATCGAACATAATACTATGCAAATGAAAAAAAACACCCCTGAAATAATTAGCAATTTGTATTAATCATTCACCTTTGCACAATCAGAATCAGAATTCAAACCATCAAAAATGTAAAGACCATATATTCATTAGTCCAAGTCATTTTCTGAAATACTACTACTTTTCTCCGTGGCATATTTTAACCATTCTTGCTTTCTTCCAGACAAATTTAGATATTATGTTATAGTTAAGAAAATATCGTAATTTCAGAGAAGAATGTCCCATATATTTGAGCAACAGTGTATTATACGAAAGAAAATGTGTTGTACCTGTGGTGTACTTGCTATTATGCTGCAGACCCAGGCGAACACAAGCATCACTTTACCCCGCCTTTCACCATCTTTTAAACTGAGCGGGTGCATAATGGCGAAGTAACGGTCCAGACTGATTGTGACAAGTATGAAAGACGACAGGTAGAATCCAAACGCTCTAAAGAAGAGCAAGGTGCGACACGCAGTGTCTCCCGCCTGCCACGACACTGTCATGTGCCACGCTATCTCTAGGGGAAGCACGATAAATGTAACAAATAAGTCAGCTATTGCTAGATGCATTATAAAGAGGTTTACCCGTGATTTTCTATGCCGATTTCGAAAGAGTGTTACAAAAACTGTCAAGTTACCGACTGAGGCAACTATAAATAAAAAGCTATAAGCAAGGATGGACACCAAACTGTCTTCGTTGAACCGCATATCACGGGGAAGCTGGAGAGTGTTTTCTATTGTTGAGCAATTTCTTCCTGACATGTTATAGGCCACAAATATATCTTGGCTTACATTATTGTTGTTCTTCCGACAAAGATGCCGGATCATATCCGCATTTGTAAGTGTCACAGCACTTTGTATCTCATTAAACGAGACATTAACATCTAAATCAGAGTTAACGACTATCATTTCATTTCCATGCTCTAAGTTCTCCATATCCGTTTCCATGTTTTTAAATGGAAATTATATTGCAATTGTACGCGATGAATCCATTTCATAAGCAACGACAATATATTTAATTGTTAATTCTTGCAGGTCTACTTTACCCATTCTTCCGTAAAACACATAATTTTCTCCAATGATTACATCATCCAACTCCTTTGTTTCTGAGCAACTGAAATCTTCCTACTCCAATTCGTACATTTGTATAATGTCTGCCACCTACCTGGAGGATTTGTTGTACCTGTTCATCAGATCAATTAGCACTCTCTCATGTTCTTATATATGTGCACAGTGTTCAGAGTAGGCGTTTTAATATTATTGCAAAATACGATTTATCTATACTATAATTTTTTGATTTTATAATTAATGTCTGGTTTATTTGTACCTATTAGTCTGGTTGAATTCCTAGGTGTGAGTTCCTTCTACTACTAAGTCCAGTCTTGCGTAGAAAGCTTTGGCATTGAAGAGATTTGCCTCACTCGATAATTACTTCCCTAATGTTTTGCAAGTTTCCAATCACATAATAACACAATGACATTCTGTACACGTCCTGTTGACGAGGCAGTCTGACGATTACTTGTCGTTGTCACTGACGCGTGTCTATTTCCATCTCAATGATACTTAATGTACGATTTTTTAATATCTTTCCATTAACACTGATTTTTGTGTTGTAGGCCATGTAGATACCGAGATATCAGTTTTAAGTACTTTAATAAAGGTACATGATCAATGCCATGATTGAAATATAATAATATTGTCCGTCCTACATTATATCTCTGGATTACCAAAGAATGAACTAATATCCTTTCTTAAACATCGCTTAAACATCTCGCGGCTGATATCTCAATAACTACACGGTCCAGATTGGTTAACAGTTATATAGGCTTTCATTCCTCGTAGAGCATTACGATATTAAAGATGGGGATCGTTCTAGTGCCTCCTATCTTTGTGTTATCAAAGATGTCCAATGACTTCTCACAAATGGATTTCTATTATCAAATTAAACATACTATTCATTGGCGTTTCTTTCTTGTTTCCCCATTCTCTATATATAACTTGACTTTTAAGTCGAAATCCATTTTGTTACTTGTACTAATTGACATTCGTCGCAGATATGGCAGCATAATCAAATGAATAAAGGGCATGGGTAACAAATTAAACTAGTGCAGGAATTCCCTCATCACAAAGTTGACCGCACTTGGACCAGCTCAAAAATGTTCCTATTTTGAGGTTATTTAAAGATTTGCAATTTTTCATATGAAAGAGCTCATGTTATAAATGTTAGGAAAACATGACTTGCATTGAACGTACTATCAGTGCCTATTCGATCGAAATTATTATATGGGATTTTTTGGACGAGTACAGTATAATAAAGAAAAGAAAATAGCAAAAGTAACCATCCTAATTGCTGAAACACCCTGACCGAAATGAAAATCAAGCATTCTCATTGAAATAAGTAAAAGTCCATAAAGTCCATGGCTACTACAATAATTGACATATGATCCATGTAACTATCACAAAAATCTGAAATATTTTGTGATTCAATCACTATCGAATAACATTTTTTATACCATAAACAACCCCTTTTCCAAAGAGTAACTAAACCGGAAAGCTTAGTCCAGTTTTATATATTTATGTTCTCGAATCGTGATTGATAAGAAAATAGAAATAATTGTCTGTTCTATTGAGATTAATAGGGACATCGTAGATCTTGTCTACGATGACATCTTTGTATCTAGAAATTATTCCGATTTCAGGAAGAAGTTTTTTTTATCATAAAAGGCTATATACAAGTATATGTGTATAACCTTTGATAATAAAAACTTATTTCCTAATTAAACAGTCTTCACCACAAACCACACAACATAATATCACATATATTATAGGATTAAATTGGAGCCAGCAGCCCGCGTTTATTGGAAAAGCGTTTAGTACATCTGGTACAAAGAATGAGTGAAAAAATGAAGCCAGTTCGCGATGCATCCAGGTACCTATGACGGCCACGATGCCAATGTCATAGCGGCCACGATGCCGATGGCATTAATGCCAGAAACCTCTTAGGTTCAAATATACCCAACATCCGTCCTCGGCTCTCAACCTCGCTGCTGATTTACGATGTTAACTGCCTTCAAGACATCAATAAGGCACCGTATAATTAAAACATCTAAATCCAACAACCCAAAACCAATGATCAACTGTCATTAAAGCCATTGTGGCTACACGTTTGTTAACACGTCAAAGATCTCAAATAAATTCACAAATTTCGGAATAAACCAAATTCTAAATTGTGACTGTATCTGTCAACTTGCACTATAAAAAACTTGTATAAGGACCATACACGTATATAGTGCCTTCTAGCACTATGCAAAATCTGTGAGTAATATACCTCACTATCTAATACAGTAATCACAAACTGTCATTAATACATATTAACAATAATCTAAATAACTGTCTACAGACTTGCACTGTAACCATATCATTGCCTCTTGGCAAAAAACGTAACTGAAATGAAACTTACTTCTTTAACAGACTGTCGTAATATGCGACATTGTTGGTCACAATAGACAAAAATTCCGTGATTATCACAATACACGAACGAACGTATACAAAAATCCTACGACCTTTTGTGATGAAAAATATAAAATCTGGAAAGCACCATGCTTTGCAAACCCTTATACCAACTGGTCTCGTATTGCAACAAAAGCAAAAGTACAACTCTTGGAAACGTTGTAAAATCTAAATACTATAAAAACTGTTTAATATAAAGTGCAATTAGCTGACAAGCACTTCTCTTAATGTGTTTGTCACATTAATATAAAACAACTACTGTAAATGTTGTTGATGAACACAACTATCATCTTAAAATACCAAGACTTGATGCCCTTCTGGAAATAGATATTACATATATCTAAAAATATAAAGGACTTTCGAATATAATCAATATCTTAAAAAGCAAAACTTTGTGCCTTCCTCGAAACAATATGACAGAAACGCACTTAAATACATGTTTATTCGCTAAGATACAATGCGCTGTCAGTAAAAATTAAACCATGCCTTGAGATTCAGATTTATATGCAAATTACATAATTGCTTCAAAGAAACCTAATATCTAATTGTTTTAATTAACATCCTATATTGTGCAATGCATTGTAATAATTGCAGAAAAATATACTTCCCAAGATAGTAATAAATGGGAACAGGTTACATCAACGTCAGAACACATATACTTAATTCAAAAACGTTGATTTGGTCAAAAGCACTTACAAGAAAGTGTTCACTAACTTCAATATGAAAAACGTTAGTTTATCGACCTGACACCGTTAAAACCCAGATCAAAATCTTTGTGACTTCGAAAGGGAAAAAGGTATGCCTCCTCGAACAATAAAACTAAATTTTCGAATCCGTTGTATGACAACTTACAACATAAACTAAAACTGTGTATAAACGCTTCGGTTGCTGCTCGCAGAATAACACGATCATATCGTGCATCTACTCACATAACCTACTCATGATCACATCATGTTATCCAATCAGTTGAAATCGCGTTCGATTTCACTAACGTTACGACGTTATATCAACCGGAAATAAAATAATTCAACTCTAATTTCAAACGTGTTGAATTTTAATTATTTCCTAATTAAACAGTCTTCACCACAAACCACACAACATAATATCACATATATTATAGGATTAAATTGGAGCCAGCAGCTACGCCAGAACCTTCTAAAAAACGGGCAAACTAGTGACCAAAGCTCGAAATGTCTCTTCTTTGAGACTTCCAACAAAGGTAGTCTTCCTTGAATCAGTCCAAGGCATCATATCTGTATCACACGTACATGTATCTGTCTTATATGGATCTCAATCCAACAAAGTAGTCTTCTTTTAATCAGCTCAAAGCATCTAATCTATATCACGCTGGTATCTATCTTATATGGACAAAATGTGGCCCAGTGTTCACATAGGCTTGTGTCCATACCTTACTTTTGGTTGTATTTGTTGTATCTATCTTATATGGATCTCAATCCAACAAAGTAGTCTTCTTTGAATCAGTCCAAAGCATCTTATTTATATCACACTTGTATCTATCTTATAAGGACAACTTGTGTTCCAATGTTCATTTAGGCGTGTGTCCATACCCTACTATGGTTTGTATTTCCTGAAATTACACAGAAAAAGCATTAAAAACATGTAAATATCGCATTGTCGCTCCAAGCGACTAACCCCTTTTTGAGGTTGCTAAATTGTACCTGCGTTCGACGCATTATACAAATCCGTCAACCCACGATACAAGTAGACTTAAAGTCTTTTACGTCAGAGTTCGAACTGTACTGCATCAGAACAACTGCTCGACGTAATGGCTATAATGCCAAACATGATAACATTTTTTACGTCGGAGTTCCAACTGTACTTCAACAGAACAACTATTCGACGTACTGGTAATAATGCCAAACATGACAACAATTTTTCGTCTGAGTTCCAACTGTACTTCAACAGAACAACTATTCGACGTACTGGTAATTATGCCATACATGATAACACTTTTTATGTCGGAGTTCCAACTGTACTTCAACAGAACAACTATTTGACATACTGGTAATAATGCCAAACATGATAACAATTTTCATGTCGGAATGTCAACTGAACTTTAACAGAACAACTGCTCAACGTAATGCCAAACACGTTCAATATAGAATGCAATTAGCTGACGAACACTTCTCTAAGGTGTTTGTTACACTAATATTGTAAATGTTGCTAGGAACACAACTATCATCTTAAAACCATATTAACTACTATTCGACGTCATGACTATAACGTCAAACATGCCAACAATTCTTATTCAACAGAATTTACTCAACGTAATGGCTATAATGCCAAACATAATAACAATCCTAAGTCAGAGTTCCATTACGTAATTTTACTAAGTGTATTTCTTGTTGTTGCAGGTAAAACATAACAATCAAGTAGTCTATCTGAATTGACAACTTCAAAAATCAATTCACCAACCAACACAATCGCTTGAACTAAACTATTCCAAAATAGATTTTATCATTTTTGAAATAACCTGCTAAATTTTAACCAAAATCATATGCATTAATAAATATTAAACATCAATATTTACAAAAACATGGATAATCCAGAGA